CTTGAGAAAGAAGAATGGAACTGGAGGAATCAACCTGCCTGACTTCAGACTATACTACAAAGCCACAGTCATCAAGACAGTATGGTACTGGCACAAAGACAGAAATATAGAAATATAGATCATTCATTTAATTTTAATCCATATGTCTCTTTATACTTAAAGTGAGTTTCTTATAGGCAACATATGGCTGGATCTTTTTTTTAAATCCACCCTGACAATTTCTGTCTTTCAATTGGTGCATTTAGACCCTTGACCTACAAAGTGATTATTGATTTAGCTGGATTAATAGATACCATATATTTATTGTTTTCTATTTGTCCTTGTTAATTGTTTCTCTCTTTGTCTTCCACTCTTTTTCTCCCTTTTGTGGTTTTAAGCATTTTACTTGATTTGATTTTCTCTTTTCTTGGCATATCAGTTATAATTTCCTTTATTTTTTCAGTGGTTGTCTTAGAGTTTGCAATATAAATCCAAGTCTACTTTAAATAACACTATACCATTTCACAGGTAGTGTGAAAACCTTATGATGACTAGATCCTAATTCCTTACTCTCATTCCTTCTATCACTGTCATCATAACATTTATACATACACATAAACATACATGGTCAAACATAGTGGTTGCTGTTATTATTTTAAAGAAACTGTAATCTGTTAGATCAATTAAGAATAATAAAAATAAGTTTTAATTTTATCCTCACTTATTCTTTTCCCAGTGTTCTTCTTTTACATAGATCCAAATTTCTGAACTCTATTATTTTTCTTCTCTTTTTATCTTTCTTGCAATGCAGAAGTACTGGCCACAAATTCCCTCAATTTTTGTCTCAGAAATTCTTTTTTCTTCACTTAAAATTTTTAAAAATTATTTTTGGCTACACTGGCTCTTTGTTGCTGTGTGGGCTTGGCTCCAGTTGCAGCGAGTGGGGTTACACTATGGTTGCATTGCGCAGGCTTCTCATTGTGGCGGCTTCTCTAGCTGCAGGCTCAAGGGCACCCGGGCTTCAGTAGCTGCGGCTCCTGGGCTGTAGGGCATAGGCTCAGTAGTTGCAGCACACAGGTTCAGCTGCTCCATGGCCTGTGGGATCTTCCTGGATCAGGAATAGAGCCCGTGTCTCCTACATTGGCAGGAGGGTTCTTTACCAGTGAGTCACCAGAGAAGCCCTCTCTTTCACTTTTGAAGGATTTCATAGGGTACACAATCCTAGGCTGATGGTTCTTTCTCTCAATGCTATATTTATTCCACTCTCCCTGTTTCCATAGTTTTTAAGAAGTTTAATGTATTTCTTATCTTTGATCCTTCATGGTAAGGTGTTTTTCCCTCTGACTACTTTCTGGGTTTTTAAATTTTCTTCATCTTTGATTTTCTGCAGCTTAAAAGCAATATGCCTGTGTGTAGTTTTTTTGGGGTCATTTATCCTCCTTGATGCTCTCTGCACTTCTGAGATCTCTGGTTTGGTGGACATTAATTTGGAGAAATTCTTAGTCACTGTTTCAAATATTTATTGTTCCTTTCTTTCCTCTTTCCGGTTTCCCATTAAACACATATAGCAACTTTTGTGGTTGTCCCACAGTCCTTGCATATTCTGTCCTGTTTTTCTAGTCCTTGCTCTCTTAGATTTTCAGTTTTGGAAGTTTCTATTGAGATATCCTCAAGCTCAGAGGTTCTTTCCTTAGCCATGTCTAGTCTTTTAACAAGCCCATCAAACATTCTTCATTTCTGTACAGTGCATGCTGTGTCTCTTCTGTGTTTTTTGCCTTTTAGTATGTCTTGTAGCTTTTCCTGATAGCCAGGCATGATGTATTGGGTAAAAGGAACTTCTGTAAACAGGCCTTTAGCAATGTGTTGGTGAGGTGGGGGTGGGGGAAGGGAGAATATTCTATAGTCTTATGATGAGATCTCAGCCTTTTAGAGACTCTGTGCCTCTGGACTGCAGACTTAAGTCTTAGTTTTCTGCCCTCTTAGGTGGAACAGAATGACTGGAGTGGACTAGAGTTGGGTATTTCCTTTCCTCCAGGTCAGTCAGCCTCTGGTTACTCTCTGCTAATACCAGAGTGGGATTCCCAGGTGGCTCAGTGGTGAAGAATCTGCATGCCATTGCAGAAGGAGCAGGTTCGATCCCTCGGTTGGGAAAGGGAACTGGGAACCCACTCCAGTATTCTTGCCTGGGAAAGCCCATGGACAGAGGAGCCAGGCGGGCTACACAGTCCACGGGGTTGCAGAGGACACAGTAAGCACACATGAACACAGTGATACTCCAGCAGGTTAGGCACTGGTTAACTAGTCTCCCCTGAAGGCAGACCTTGTTAAGAGAACAGAATGCGCTGGCATATTTCAAAAGGGTTTTTTTTTTCCCCTGCCCTTGGAAGCACCAGGGGATTTTTCTCTAGCATTTATTGGGGGGATCTGGTCAAGGTCCTGGAGGTAAATCTCAAACATCGGGGGCCCTCCTATGACTGGGTTCCCCTAGAATTTTTTAATTTTCAGAGTACTCTGAGCAACCAGCAATTCATCAGTTGTAGTTCTTCTTTCAGTGGGGCTTCCTGGTGCCTCAGTGGTAAAGAATCTGCCTGCCATGCAGAAGGCTCAGGTTCAATCCCGGGTTGGGAAGGTCCCCTGGAGAAGGGAATGGCAACTCACTTTAGTATTCTTGCCTGGAGAATCCCATGGGCAGAGGAGCCTGGTGGGCTACAGCCCATGGGTGGCCAAGAGTTGGACCCAGCTGAGTGACTAACAGGCAGGCACAGGTCCCCATGGGGAGTTCCCACTATGAGTCTCTGCTCTGGTAAACTGTCATTCTCTGTATTCTGTTCGTCTCTCCAACGCTGATTTTTCAGTCTGTTCAGCTTTTTACTCGTTAGAATGGCCTCATGGCTTCCAAGCTTCTTACATGCTGGACTGGAAACTGGAAGTCTTTATAAAAAAAAAGAAATTAGGACAAGACACTAAGGTTAAAAGTTGGATTTGTATCATATCTGTAGGTAAGCAGAGTTATCACTCTTAAATATTTCTAGGAAAGATAAAAGCTTATCTATATAAAAAAATAAAATATCAAGAAGTTGAAACACAAACCCCTACAGTGTTCTGTTAGTGGTAGTTTCTTAGAAAGAAGCCTTTCTTAAATCTTTCTTGTCAGGCGAGTGTATGCTCCTTGGTTCTTTGTCTCATCACAACAAAAATTTGGAGTGACGGACATGAAAGCCCCCTCGGCGGGTCACAGCTCTCGGGTCTTGGACAGACCAGTGTTATAGCTCTTAAATAAATCAGTGTTACAGCTCAGCGTTACAGCTCTATTTTATTTAGATAATAGCAGGAAAATCCATCTTTGAGGCGTGAGGGCACGTTGATCCAAAGACGCGAAGAGAAGAGCGCCCCATTGTGCAGGAGAGAGGGAGAGAAGAGGGCTTCGGCTCCTCTGTTTATATGTCTCTCTGTCCCTGGGCCTGTCTTATGTACATTGGGCCAGCCAGGAGTGTTGTTTATTCTACCTGAGGTTCTCACTCTGGTCCTCGGACCTTCCTTTGTTCCATTTTCGCAGGCTTTTCCCTTCCAGGTCTTTTAGCCACCACCATTCTGGACTCCTTTTCCCTATTCTAACTACCTAACATTCTGAAGGCTGTTAATTTGTATTTCTATGTGACTTTGATAGTGTTTACTTTTCTTATTGCCCTATCCTGATTTCTTTCCCCACACTGTTAAATGGATCCACTTAAAGGAAAGACACCTGGATTTACTTGAAAAGAGAAAAGTTATTAGAATATTTTTATGTAAATCTCATTTCATCGAGAAACTACAAATGGGATGAATGCTTGCTAATTTCCACTTTAATTTTGTTGATTAAAAATCCAAATCCCTCGAAATACATTGTTTACCAATACTTTTAAAGTTCAAAATCTAAATAGAGATCCTTTTAATCAATTAACAGTTTCTTATATGTGTATATGTGTCGTGCATTGAGAAAATAGGAGATGGCTTATTTTTTATTTGAAAGTGGAAATTTTGGCTTCCAGCCTGCCGTGTCGCGTCCCCTGGTGGCATCCAGATCGCGAGTCTCGCGGGGGCTACACCTGGTCACTCGTGTCTGCAGCCAGCTGTGCAATTAGGTCTCTGGCATCCTGCATGATGGAAGGTATCTCTGAGCCGCTCTCAGTCACCTGGGTTCCGAACAAGAACATCTTCCTGTCATTTCCCACCTCAGATAATGCCAGAGCTTCATGGATATCTGTAATGTGATAGGCTGCTTCAAGATCCTTCACAAGAATGGAAAAAGAATTGAGAAAAAGTTGATTATTTTGCAACATTTTTGGATAGATACATTTATTACTCTCAATGATCGCACCTCCATTATAATATCGAGGATGTTGTAATCCCATTACTAGGATCCTAAAGGCTGTTTGAATATAAAGATTTTCATCGGAATTGTATCAGCATTTATGAGTTATTATCAAAAGAGTATTTTCTGGAACAAAGTTAAGCCAATATGATACCTTAATCAATTTCTTAACCAGTGCGATCCGCTTCTAGTTTTGTTTTTCCATTTTTGTCTGAATTTTCCCAAGACTTATTTTTTTAACTTTTTAAAATAACTTAATTAATAATGTGCTTATTGTTGGCTGTGCTGGGTCTCTGTTGCTGCATGGGCGTTTCTCTCCTTGTGAGCGGGGGCTATTCTCCAGTTGTGGTGCTTGGGCTTCTCATCGTGGTGGCTTCTTCTATTGCAGAGCACGGCCTCTAGGGCTTGGGCTTCAGGAGTTGCAGCGCAAGGGCTCAGAAATGGCAGCTCCCTGGCTCTAGCGCACCGGCTCAACAGCTGTGGCTTAGCGGCTCTGCGACATGTGGGATCTTGCTGGATCAGGGATCGAACCTGTGCCTCCTGCATTGGCAGGCAGATTTGATTCCACTGAAGAATCAGGGAAGCCCTCCAAGGTTATTTTTAATTTGTCTTTACAATAGAAGCTTGATTCATTAATTGGTTTTTGCCCATATAATATTTTATTGATTATAGCATTTGCCAAGGGTGAGTTTTCTTTTGCAAAAATTATTTCTGCTGAACAAAAAGTTTTACATCAAATTTGGGGGGATGGAGGGAGATAGAGAAGGGATCAGGGATGGGATAAATTTAGAAAATTGCATAGTAGGTGAAGAAGGCTGAGAGGCAAGGGCCAGGTGGAGGGAAAGAGGAGGAGATTGAGAATGGGGAAGGCTTAAAGGAGGAAAACCCATCCGAAGAGGCAGAGAGGGGAGAGATTAAAACGAGGAGACAAAAAGCATGTGTTTATGATGCATGCTAAGATCGAAACATGTTTCTTTGCCTCTCACACATCAAGAATTATTTATGGCAAATAACCTCTGATATTCCCTCTCCTAAATACATATGCAGATTCAGTTACAGTTTTTAAGTCTTCTGCAAAAGTTCCAGCATTTTCACTCTTAACATTGAATTTGTAATTGGCTTTTTGTTTCATGGTGCTCTCCCAAAGCTTTAGGGCATCATCTGAAAAGAGTACAATATTGTCATTTTCTCTTGTACCAATTTGAACCTAGCAAATTCTTGTGAGTCTGTGAGGTTTCACATGGTATCATTACCTTTTCTGGTTCTTCCACTTTATTGCCTATCTGAAACCTGAATTCATTTAGTCTTAGAGCATGTAGTGAATTTTGCAATTGTGTTAATGAATCTAGTAACATGTGGACAATGTCTCAAGTTAAAAGAAATGCCACCAGTGGAATTGGAGAGGAAGAAAATAGAAGGGTTCTGGAAGGAAGGAGGAGCTCCTTGTAATGATAAAAGAACATCAGGGATAAATATCATGTGTACTCCACACTCACATAATTGTGCCCTAATAGATGTCATCACTCAAAGAATAACGATAGTAAGATGACTCTTAAAAAATATTTATGTAATAACTTGAAACAATGAGTCATCTAAAAGCTTAAGTTACTTTGATCAAGGAGTAATAACCAAGGTGACCTTAAACTAGAATGTGTGTTAGCTGCTCAGTTGTGTCCAACTCTTTGTGACCCCAGAGACTGTGTCCCACCAGGCTCCTCTGTCCATGGAATTCTCCAGGCAAGAATACTGGAGTGGGTTGTTATTCCCTTCTCCAGGGGATCTTCCGGATCCAGGGATTGAACCCAGGTCTCCTGCATTGCAGGCAGATTCTTTACTGTCTGAGAATATCCAAACGTTTTATTATTAAACCCCAGTAAAAGTTATAAATTTGACACCAAATGGTCCTGTTTACTCAATCTGATGAAGAGATATAAACCACAAAGGAAAGTATAGATAAATTGTACTATTAAAAATGAAAACCTGTGTATTAAAAAGAGAACCATAACAAAGTAAAATGTTAACAGTAGGTTGCTGCTGCTGCTAAGTCGCTTCAGTTGTGTCCGACTCTGTGCGACCCCATAGGTGGCAGCCCACCAGGCTCCCCCATCCCTGGGATTCTCCAGGCAAGAACACTGGAGTGGGTTGCCATTGCCTTCTCCAATGCATGAAAGTGAAAAGTGAAAGTGAATTCGCTCAGTCGTGTCTGACTCTTAGCGACCCCACGGACTGCAGCCCACCAGGCTCCTCTGTCCATGTGATTTTCCAGGCAAGAGTACTGGAGTGGGGTGCCATTGCCTTCTCCACAATAGGTTGCTAGAGAAGATATTTGTAATGTATCTAACAGAAATAGGACTATTTTTCCAAAAGATATGAAAGACTCACAAAAAAAAAAAGAAAGAAAGAAAGACTCCTACAACTCAAATGAAAAAGATAAACACCCCAATAGGAATTTGGGGAACGATATTAAAAGCTAATTCACAGAAATGGAAATTTGCTTCAAAGAAATGAAACTAATTTGAAACTAATAACCAGTGAACATCTGAAAAAAATGTTCAGGCTCACTAGTAATTAAGGAAATGCAAATTAGAATAATAAGATAAAATTTCATTCTCATGAGACTGGCAAAAATGAAAGTTTGATAAACCAAGTATTAACAAGGGTGTAGTGTTATAAAACCTGTCATATACTGCTGGTAGGAAGAATAAATTGGTTCAATATCTTTGGAAAGCAACTCGGTAATATATAGTAAAACTGAATACATGAAAAAAAAGTGAAAGGTGCTCAATCACGTCTGACTCTTTGTGACCCCAGGGACTATATAGTCCTTGGAATTTTCCAGGCTAGAATACTGAAGTGGGTAGCCTTTCCTTTCTCCAGGGGATCTTCCCAACCCAGGGATCAAACCCAGGTCTCCTGCATTACAGGCGGATTCTTTACCAGCTGAGCCACAAGGTACAAATCCCCAAACCCAGCAATTCCTCACGCACTAGAGAACTGTTGGTACACATCTATGAAAAGACACATACATGAAGATTCACTACAGAACTCTTTACAACAATGAAAAATTGGAAATAACCCAAATGCCCAACAAGAAAATGGTAAAGTGGTGGTATATTCATGCAATGCAGTACTATACAGCTCACTTACATTTACCATGATCTTCTAAATCTTCATAGTTTGTGTTACTTAAGATGCTCACTGAAAAAAAAAAAAACAACTCCAAACTTTTAAAAAAATAATCTGCTGGACTAGCATTTATGCTGGACTTTAATATAGGCTCCTACTCTTAGATCATCATTATAATGATTTATTTTACTTCCATAAACACTCACTCATAGGAGTGGGAGAAAGGGTAGGAACTGAGCTCTCTTATGACTGATAAGCCTGGCAATTGAGAGAGAGGCTACTGCATTACAAGCACACTTCAGAGATACTGCAAATTGGGTCCCAGACTACTGTGATAAAGTGAATACCGCAATAAAGTGAGTCACATGAATTTTTTTTGTCTCTTGGTGCATAGAAAAGTCACTTTAACACTACTGTAACTTATTAAGTGTGCGATAGCATTATGTCTAAAAATACATACATACCTTAATTTAAAAATACCTTATTGCTAAAAAATGCTAACCATCATCCAAGCCTTCAGCAAGTCATAATCTTTTTACAATAGTAACATCAAAGATCACTGATCAGAGATCATCATAACAAATATAATAATTCTAAAAGTTGGAAATATTGCAAGAATTCCCAAAAGGCCACACATAAAGTGAGAAAAGCAGCTGGGAAGTGGCACCTATAGACCTGCTCCATGCAGGGTTGCCAGAAACCTTCAATTTGTAAAAAATCCCAATATCTGCAAAGCACAGCAATGTGAAGTGCGATAAAATTAGGTGTGCCTGCACAATGCCATAGATGTCTAATGTTTTTTAAAAATTTCTTTTTATTGTAGTAAGATACACATAACAAAAATTTCCATATTAGCCATTTTGAAGTGTACAGTTTGGTGTACACTTGAGTAAATTCACATTATTGTACACCATCTTCAGAGCTCTTCAACTTGTAAAACTGACACTCTGCACCCATTAAACAATAGCTTCCCATTTCTCCCTCCCCCAGCCCTTGGCAACTACTATTTTTTGTCTCTCTGACTTTAACTGCTCTGTGCTGAGTCGCTCAGTCGTGTCCGACTCTGCCATCCCATGGACTGTAGCCTGCCAGGCTCCTCTGTCCATGGGGATTTTCCAGGCAAGAATATTGGACTGGGTTGCCATGCCCTCCTCCAGGGGATCTTCCCAACCCAGGGATTGAACCCAGGTCTCCCACATTTCAGGTGGATTCTTTACCAGCTGAACCACCAGGGAAGCCCTTAACTGCTCTAGGGGACCTCATAAAAGTGTAATCATACAGTATTTGTCCTTTCGTGACTGGCTTATTTCACTTAGCATAATGTCCTTAAAGTTCATCCATGGTGTAGCATGTGTCAGAATTTCCTGACACATTTAAGGCTGAATAATATCCACTGTACGTATACACCACATTTTGTTTATCCATTCACGTGTGGATGGACACTTGGGTTGCTTCTACCTATTGGCTACTGGGAATAATTCTGCTATGAGCATGGGTGTGCAAACATCTGTCTGAGTTCCTGCTTTCAATTCTGTTGGTAATATACCCAGAAGTGGAACTGCTGGACTATATGAAAATTCTATTTTTAATTTCTTAAGGAACTGCCATACTGTTTTTCATAGCGGCTGCACCATTTGACATCCCCACCAACACTGCACAAGGCTTCCGTTTCTTCATGAGTGTTTAATACTTGAATGCATGTGTGTGAAATTCAGGTCAGGCTAGCTAATCTAAAACTACTCCTGTATACTGACACTTGGTATGTGTGCGTGTGTGTGTTAGTCGATTAGTCACGTCTGACTCTTTGCGACCCCATGGACTGTAGCCTGCCATGCTCCTCTATCCATGGGATTCTCCAGACAAGAATACTGGAATGGGTTGCCATTCCCTTCTCCAGGGGATCTTCCCGATCCAGGGATCAAATCCACGTCTCTCAGATTCTTTACCATCTGAGCCACCAGGGAAGCCCATGGTACATAGTAAGCACGCAAAGATTTTGTTGAAATCAATTCAACAGTCAGTAAATGTTTATTTAATTAAACCTAACAGATATTCACTGAATCCCTACTAACTACAAGGTGGTATACTAGGTTTCACATAGGACACAAAGGTGAATGACAGTCTCTGTTCTGAAGGAATTTACAGCTGTGCGCTTTTCCGGTGGCTCAGTCAGTAAAGAATCTGCCTGCAGTGCGGGAGACCTGGGTTCCATCCCTGGGTTGGGAAGATCCCCTGGAGAACGGAATGGCAATCCACTCCAGTGTTCTTGCCTGGAGAATTCCATGGACATAAGATCTTGGCAGGCTACAGTCTACAGGGTCGAAAAGCGTTCAGACACGACTGAGCGACTAACACGTTCACTTTTACTTGGTGTCTGTGGGGGGATTGGTTGCAGGACCCTAGAAGACATCAGAATCTGCTCAAGTCCCTTATATAAAATGGTGTCATTTTTGCAAATAACCTATGCACATCCTCTCTTATACTTTAATCATCTATAGACTACTTATAATATCTAATACAAGGTAAATGCTATGAAAATAATTGCCCACATGTGGCAAACAGGAGTTTTACTTTCTGGAACTTTATGGAATTTTTTTTCCCCCTGATCCACGGCTGGTTGAATCACAGATAAGGAGAGCTGACTGTATACTCCAGTAGACCTAATAGTATAAATTGAAATGAAAATACAGCATATTATTGAATATTTAGCTCTTAAAAGCAGACATTTCTTTGGGTCATCTGTCGATATGTGGATGGACCCAGAGTCTGTCATACAGAGTAAAGTGAATCAGAGAGAGAAAAACATCGTATATTAACACATACATGTGGAATTTGGAAAAATGGTACAGATGAATCTATTTCCAAGGCAGGAATAGAGAGTCAGAGAAGAAAGTGACTTGTGGACATAGAGGAGAGCATGGGATGAATTGGGTGATTAGGACTGACGTATATACATTACCAGGCTTCCCAGGTGGCTCACTGGTAAAGAATCTACCTGTCAATGCAGGAAACGTGGGTTCAGCCCGTGGGTGGGTACGATCCCCTGGAGAGGGACATGGCAACCTGCTCCAGTATTCTTGCCTGGGAAATCCCATCAGAAGAGTCTGGCAGGCCACAACAGTCCATGGCGTAGCACAAGAGTAGGACACGATTTACTGACTAAAGAATAACAAACATACACTACTATGTGCAAAATAGACAGCTAATGGGAACCCGCTATAAAGCACCGGAAGCTCAACTCAGCACTCTGTGATGACCTAGAGGGGTGGGATGGGGGTGGGAGGGAAGCCCAAGAGGGAGGGCATTATCTGCCTATTAGGACTGATTCACTTCTGTTAGCAGAAACTAACACAGCATTGTATAACAATTATACTCCAATTTAAAAAAATAAAATTTTAAAAATAAGTTAAAAAGATCAAATTCAAAAAGTAAACATTTCTATTTACCGCATTAATAAAAAATATATTGAGTACACTTTATATTTGCACAGATTTTTACCTGTTTGTTTGCAAACACAACCAGAGGAAGGACTGGGTTTGTTCCAATTAGTTGATGAAGGTATTTCTTGGCTTCAGGTAATCTTTTGTGATCTGCTGAATCCACCACAAATACCAGCAGCAAGCCCTTGGACAGGTACATTTCCCAATAGCAACGGAAAGGTTCGCTGCCGCCAACTACAAAGGAAAGCAAAGGAAGAAGACACGAACACACAGATCTCAGAAGCGTCCATCGAGGCAGCCAGGTAAGGCACATTTTGATAATTTCTGAACACTGGCAGGTCTTCTGATAAAAGACCTCTGTGAGACTAGACCCAATTCTGAGAACAACCAGAGCGATGTTTCTGGGGAAATGATTGGTGGGGATATTTACCCTCCACAAGCGGTTCGTTAAGTTCTGGAACACAAAGGACCGGCATGGTGGTAATTTAGTCACGAAGTCGGGTCTGACTCTTGCGACCCCATGGACTGTAGCCTGCCAGGCTCCTCTGTCCATGGGATTTCCCAAGCAAGAATACTGGAGTGGGTTGCCGTTTCCTTCTCCAGGGGATCTTTCCAACCCAGGGATCAAACTCAGGTGTCCTGCATTGCAAATCTGCACCACAGTGGACGCCTCTTGATCTGTTTTACGGAGCAGTCATGACAGCCTGTGCATGTCTATCGAGTATGGATCAGTAGACGGGAGTAGTCCACTGAAAGAATTCAGGGTGGTGGGTTTCTCTAAAATGTCTTAAGTGGACTGATTTAAATGTCATTGGCTAGCCTCTCTTGCACAACTTTTTTCCTTTCTCAAAACCCAAAATCTAATTTCCTTTCTTTCATCTTGCACTGAAAGTTAATATGATCCTGTGGGTATTCAAGAATACTTGCCTCAGAAAAAAAATGTCTTTGAGTTATTTTTTTCTGCTGATGCTTCCCAGAAAAAACTTCTTGGAATCATAATAATACAGACACAGTGAATTCAGTTTTTATTTTTCTCCTGGGACAGACGTTGACAAACGATGGCCCACAGTCTAAACCTGGCTCACTGCCTGTTTTTGTACTGCCCATGAACAAAAAATGGATTTTACATTTTTAAACATTTGGGGGGAAAAAGAATACCACTTTATAACACATGAACATTATATCACATTTGGATTTCAGTACAAGCCAAGTTATGCAGGTTTGTTCACACAGGGTCTTGGCTTGCTTTCTCAGTATTGAGTAGGATCACAGAGATCATGTGGCCACAGAGTCTATATGATCTACTCTGGAGCCCTTTGCAGAAAAAGTATGCAGACCACTGTTATGGGCACTTAACAAAAACATTTCAAAAACTAATAGGAAAGGGTCTTTATTTGCCTTTCCTTTTTTTTCCTTTGTACAGAGAGCCAGGCTGGTCATTCTTCAAAGTATTTTGTGTTTTAATTTTTTAAAAGAATGTAATCTAAGTAATTCATATGGCTTTAATGTACAAGCTTAAACAGGCATGTTGTTTCCCATCTTTTTTGCCAACACCATGACATTTCACCTATAATAGGAATTGCTCTCTTTTAGTTATTAACTTCTTTTTTAAAAAAAGTATTAATTGGGGAGGGTGCAGGACTGGAAAAAAAATTATTCATTTACTTTTTATTGTTGGCTGCATCAGGTCTCAACTGTGGCATGGGAATCTCAACTGTGTCGCACAGGCTGCGCTCTAGCGGCCGAGCGAGGGCCCCAGAGCCTGGGCTGGGCAGTTGTGGCTCATGGGCCTTGTTGTCCCGCGGCATGGGGGATCTTACTTCCCCGACCGGGGATCAAACCCATGTCTCCTGTATTGGAAGGTGGATTCTTAACCACTGGACCACCAGGGAAGTCCCTAGATATTAACTTCTAATTTAATGGTAAAATAGTTAGAGAACACGGTTCATATGATGCCTCTTTGAAAACTCCATTAAGACTTGCTGTATGGCCCAGGAAGTGGTCCATGTTTGGTTACTGTTCCATGGGTATTTGAGAAGAATGTGAATTTTAACTTTCTGATGAAGCTAAAATTGTCTAATTGGACAATTTTATATGGTTCATTAGATCAAATTGGTTGACGTGTTCAAACATTATATACTCTCTGAAGTTTTTTTCTGCCTAATTCCATTAATAATTGACAAACATATGTTGAAACTCCTCACTCCGACAGATCTGTCCATTTTCCCCCTTAATTGGAATCTTTTCTTTTTTCTTCCTATCTTCCTTTCTTTCTTTTTATTCTCTTTCCTTTCCTTCCCACACCCCAACCCTTACCCTTTTTCACTTTTTATATTCTGAGACTCTTTTCTTAGCCATCTATTTCATTAAAAATATTATTTCTTCTATAGCTTCTGAGAAATTGAAATCTCTATTCCTAATAATGCTTTTATCAGAAAGATTCGCCTTCAGCTTTAACAGTTTCTCTGCCCACCATTTTCTCTTCACAACTGGATGAAAGCAAAAATTCATAGCATTTTCCTTGCATACTGGAGGTGGGGGTACAGAAAATGCCTGGTCCTCTGGCTTGAGCATCCTGATGGGTGAAGAGACATTTCCAACCAGAAGATTATAGGGACAGGAGCAGATATGGAGCTTTATCAAGCATTGGCTTGGACAATGTTAGGTTTGAGAGGCCATTGAAACAGCCGGGTAGAGATGTCAGGTGACATTTGGGTATGTTTGGCTGGATAGATAAATTTGGGAGAGTGTAGAGAGAAGATAAGAGGATCTGACACAACTTTGGAAAACAGCAATATTCTGAGAGGCAGTGACTCCAGAATTACCATATAGTAGGGGCTTCTGGGTTGTGATCTGATTACAAGAGTATATATGTTATAATCTGGTCATAACAGGTTTGTGAATATTTGCATTTTTGAGAAGGAAGTACACTATATTTACCTAGATTGGATTTTTATGGGGGGGGTAGTAAGGAGGAGGGAGGCTGTTAAAGGAGAGGGTGCTAAAGCCTTCCTCTCAACTCCCTTTTATCACCACCACTGAAAAAAGGAGAAAATAAAAAGAGCAGAAAGCGATTTGACCCACATTGCACCCTAGCATTCATCTACATATGCTTTCTGACAGTCTAGGAAAATCTGACCCAGGGTTTCATTTCATAAGGACCTATCATCCATTTCACATTCACTTTATCATTCATTTCACAAGGACCCATGTGATGTTGACAACATCGCATCTGGCTTAACGTCTGACAATCATGTGGCTATATAAGCTATTAGCTACCCCCAGAACCACTGAGAAAGAGCGCTTACTCTCCAGGAACTCCATCTGGTGGTCCTGGGTGCTGATGCACACTGCATTGAAACCTTGGGTGGGGGCCACACTGCGCTGGACTCGGTTTAAAGCAAGAAAGTGGAGAATACTGGTCTTTCCTGCCCCATCCAGGCCCAGCACTATGATCTGCTTATTTCTCTCCTGTGAAACAAAAGATAAGGCAATAAAGCTATGCTATCAGGGCCTTGTTTTCTTGGCTTTGGGAAGTGCGCTTGCCAGTATTTGTGAAATTGTAAACCAGAATAAAACTTTGCAAAAAAATTCAATAGGTCTAGAGCAAACTGTACTAGTCAGTTTGTATTTTCTATAATCAGTCATTACTTATGTGATATTAACTGCATACCCCCTCTTTATCTTCCAACTCCTGGTCAATTTATCAAATAAATACTTCATGTATATCAGGACTTACAGGAGGTGCCATATTTTCAGGGCCAATTTTCACACTTCACTTGGCTTCCCTAGTTCATATCCATTGGAGACTGCACGAAAATTCAATTTGTTGTTTGGGATCTTGGGACCTTCTTGGTCCATGTATTGACACTGCCACTTGGCATGTAAGCATCTAAGGTCTCATGTTATTAATCTGTTTTGTCTCCTCAAATTGAATCATAGATTAAAAGTTCTTAGGGCAAGGTTACTCTCTTCTGTACTTTTTAATATAAATATTATTAAATAAAAAGGCAAAACTATAAAAATTGTTAAACTAGTTCCAATCATATTAAAATCTCATGCTAAAACCTGATGAACTAGATGTAAACTTTAGGAAGAAGTATTCCACCAGCATACCAGCCTTAGAAATTTTTATGACAAGTGTTTGAGGGACAAGAAGGACAGACTGGTATGAAGAGAGAAACAAAAAGCTCAGAGTGCTTAGAAAGGTGGCTTTTAGTGTACAAACTTCAATATAAACAGTAATAAATGAGCAACCCAGTCAGACTGTTCATAGGAATTCTATTTCTCAAACAGCTTACCAAAGAAGTTTCTCATATATGGAAAAAGAAAAAAAAAAAACCTCAAGAGCATTGGTTTAAAAATAAAAATCTTATACATGTCTGCTTGAACACCAAATGTTGACATTAGACATAGACTGCATGCTAAGTCGTGTCAGTCACGTCTGACTCTTTGTGACCCCATGGACTGTAGCCCACCAGGCTCCTCTGTCCATGGGATTCTCCAGACAAGAATACTGGAGTAGGTTGCCATTTCTTTCTCCAGGGGATCTTCCTGACCCAGGGATCGAATCCAGGTCTCCCACATTGCAGGTAGATTCTTTACCATCTGAGCCACCAGGGAAGCCTTAGACTTAGACTAGATTTCTGTTACAAAAAAGTGATCCTCAACAGCACTATACATCTATCCCATGTCCCTCCTCTCTAATGTAGAAGGTCTGTGTAAAAATAAGGTGTTTTAAGGTCTGCTGTAATAGGGACTTATATACAGGGAATCATTTATGAAACCTGTCTAGTGAGTGACAGAATTTTAAAAAGTAAGTGTTTGTTACTGGAGTGAATTCTTGACGGCTCTTAAAGCAAATGGTACTCCCATAGGTTTCCTATATCCATCTCCACTTCTCCATTCTCTTCCATCTGCCTCTAAATGTTACAGTGTCATTCTCAGAGAGTCATGGTAAGGAAAAGGGACTAGATACTCCTCTAAGGGGATGTCACTGGATGGTTTTAAATGAATGCTTTAAAGCAATGGTGACAAGAAATGGCTGCAAGATGTGGACTGTGTCACCCCATTATCTCCACCAATGGCCCCACACTCAGGTTACCCCAACATATTTTATCAGTTCCAAGATTTCTTTTTTTACATTTTAACATCTCTGAAATGAGGTCTTTACAATCTACAGTATGTCATATTTTGGCTGGAAGCATTTTTTTTCCCCTTTCTCTGTGGTACCTAAAATAATGGCATCTTGGATCTTAAGAATTTTGTGAATAAAAACCGTTTCCTACTCCCTTTCCAATCACATCGCTGCCACTAACCTGACCCTATTTAGAAATTCTGTAGTCACTGATGCTTTACATTTTGCTTACTTTTTAGTCTAAAATACAAGCTTCTTCATGTTTATAATCTCTTAAGAAAAGCTGGGGTTACTGTAAACACTGAAATGTGATTCAACACCACTGTGTTAAAAGTTATTCCTTTGACTATAAGTGAATCTATATAGTCTGTTTTGTGTGTTCATCTCAAAGTTGTGCCCAACTCTTTGCAATCCCATGGACTGTAGCACACCAGACTTCCCTGTCCTTCACTATCTCCGAGTTTGCTCTAACACGTCCATTGAGTTGGTGATGCTATATAACCATCTCATCCTATGCTGACTTCTTTTGCCTTCAATCGTTTCCAGCATCAGGGTCTTTTCCACTGAGTTGGCTCTTCACATCTGGTGGCTAAAGTAATGTAGCTTCAGCTTCAGCATCAATCTTTCCAACGAATATTCAGGGTTGATTTCCTTTAGGATTGACTGGTTTGATCTCCTTGCAGTCCAAGGGACTCTTATAAGGCTTCTCCAACACCACAGTTTGAAAGCATCAATTCTTTGGCTATTTCACCAGAGATCAAATCTCTGTTAATAATTCATGTTGTTTAGAACCAGAAAGCAGCTCTGAGCCCAGGAACTCCAGGAGCACAGAGCCCACTAAGTCGAGCCAAATAATGCTTATTTTTTTTCCTTCTCTCCCAATTTTTAAATTCTGGTAAAGTACACAACAAAAAAGGCTTCCCAGGTGGTGCTAGTAAGAAAGGACCCACCTGCCAATGTAGGAGATATGAGAGATGTGGGTTCCATCCCTGGGTCAGGAAGATGCCCTGGAGAAGAGCATGGCAATCCACTCCAGTATTCTTGCCTGGAGAATAGAGGAGCCTGGCAGGAAACCATCCACGGATCACAGACCGTCGTACACAACACAAAATTTACCATCTTAACCATTTTTAAACCCAGAGTGATATCGACTTCATTCATAATACCGTGCAACCATCACCGCTACCCATAACTATTCATCTTGTAAAACAAACTGCACTCATTAAACTCCTCACCCCCCCCAGCCCCTAGGCCCCAACATTCTGCTCTTTGACTCTGATTTTGAATACACGAGGTAAATCATCTAAGTAGAATCATTCGTATCTGTCCTTTTATGACTACAAAGGCTGGTTTCTGAGGCCTCTCAGTTAAACCTCTGTGACCCTTTCTTCTGGGTGCCGGTGGTCTGAAAACAATGTAAGTAATAGTAACCAGAGCACCCACAGAAAAGGTCCAGGCGCTCCCCAAACACGTCCTGCACAAATTCAAGAAACCTACACCTTCACACACACACACAAAACAGAAAAGACTGGAACAGAGAGAACATGTGTGGTGGGAGTCTGGGGCTAGTGTTCGGCGCTGGCCAGAGATGGGGCTGGAAAAAAGGCTGTTGCCGGCACCCGCTGTGAACATCATCAAGGTGTCTTATTCAACACTAGACCTGGACGCAGGGTCGGGTTAGGGGTGAGTGGGCGAGTGGCTGGGGAGAAGGGGCTCGCGATGGGTAGTTCGAAGCTTGGCACATTCCGGTTCCATCCGCGGATACAAAGCCGGCAAACAGACCGGATTCCTTCCGGCGCGAGCCCACCCGGGGTCTCGCACGTAACAGAGCGGCGAAACCCCGGACAATGGCCTCGGGTGAGGGTCCGAGGCAGCGGTCTCTTACCAGCGGCGCCAGCGGGATTTCTATCAATGTGCTGTTGTCCTTGTCTTTCTCTTCTTTTTCCTTGAATTGCTGCTTCTCTTTCTCCGTCTCCCGCTCTTGCCTCTTTTCATCCTCATTTCTCTTACTTTTCTCCCCCTTCCTGTTCGCCTTCTCCTTAATTTTCTCCTCCTTCCCCCCTTTTCTCTCCTTCCCGTTCGCCTTCTCCTTAATTTTCTCCTCCTTCCCCTTTTCTTTTTTCTCCTTCCCGTTCTTTTCCTTAATCTTCTCCTCCTTCCCCTTTTCTTTCTCCTTGACCTTCTTTTTGTTTTTCTCCTCCTTTCCTTTTTGCTGAGTTTTCTCTTTCTCCGGCTCCTTCCCCTTTTCCCTCTTTGCTTCCCCCACCTCCATCCCCACCCCCCTTCCCTCCGCCCGCGCGCCCGCGCGCGGGAGCTGCCGGGCGGGGTCCCGGCCGGAGTGGTCGCCGCTGTGGGGGCAGCTCCGGGGAGACGTAGGTCCACGTGGCGAACAGCGCCCCGCGGTAACCGCCAGCCCTCCCCACCCCAGGGCCCCGGGCTGCGGCGTGGGCATCTTGCGCTCGCCCGCCAGCCCGCGGTGTGGAGCTAGAGGGGCGAGCCCACGCCAGGGGACCTGGGAGACCCGGCCGCGGGAGCTGGGAAAGACCGGTGAAGCAGGAAAAGCGTCCCCAGGTATCGCTTCCTCGGAAGAGCGCCGGCGAGATGCACTCGGGCTGGGTAGGGTGTCTCAGAAAGGTGTTTCTCGCCCACCCATCTCAGCCTCTCACTTCCTCGGCCTCCTCCCAGCCCATGTGTCTCCTCTGATCAGAATGCTGGAGAAGGCACCCGAGTCCTGAGAGCCCCAGGCTTTCCCGCCTTCCCCTCGTTAATGACAAGTCTGGAGGGTGAAGTTGGATATCTCCCCCCTCCTCACCCGTTCTGTTTAAGTCCACCAGCTACGTCTAAAGCCGCTTTCCAGGAGGCTTAAGGAAAAAGGAATGTGACTGGTTCCCTTATTTCGCTTAAAAAAAATCGCTCTGGAGATTAGTCTGCCAGGATCACAGCTACTGGTAAAACCAGGCATTAAAACCACAACTAAAGAAAACTGTGGTTCCCAAAGATGGAATAAACTAGTAAATCAGAAGAGCCACGGGGCTCTGCAAAGATGGTGTGAGAAGTATAGGGATGGTCCTTTTTACTATTTTGTTCAACCACACTCTTTAGTATGGTCCACAACCTAACAAAACCAACTTAAAGTGGTAAGGCGAATTTCCTTCATCAGATCCAAGTTTCGAACAGGTTTAAAAGAAACGAATAAACAGGTTTCAGAAAGCTTGAGTGATGCAACAGTTCTTAAGTTGTTTTTAAGGTTAGCAGTTTCCGAAGTGGTCTTGGAAGTGCCATCCCCTAAGCCATCTGCCTAGAGGGAAGCCTGCCCAACAGAGCTCCTGAGAGAAGAACCCCTTCTTTAAAGGCAATAAAGGTGTCAGCTTTTTTTCCCCCTCAAAAGCCAAAACTTAAAAAACGTTTACTCTTCAATTTGGTTATGTACAGGTATCCACATGATGAATTTTCAGTGAAAACTTTGTTCTCTCAATACCTTAGTTTAACTTTCTGGCTTTGCAAGAAGGGGCAAGAGCTAATTTTAGATGCTCAGTTAAAAAAATTCTTAGATGTACTAGCAGGATGCCTCTGCAAAATGCCAATACCCCCAAACATCTTAATCCAATCCATACTCACTGCTACATTCTTTTATTTTAAAATGTGCCACAGTGAATGGATGTATCCATATTGGTTTTTTATAAATGTACACACACACACACACACATATACACAAAGTATATATGTCATGAGTTAAAGACCTATCCAAAAGAAGAAATAATTACTAGGAAGTTAACATAGGTGTTTACACTTCATTTGACAATGACAATTTATTTGAACTGAGGTTCCAGTTGCTTAGTACTCATTGATGATAACAACAACTAGCAATTACAATGACTAAATAGAGAACTGAAAATTTCTGTTGTGCCTTGGGTCAAAATTTTCATTGATAAATTTCACCAAAATTCTGTAACCTAAGAATTGATTATCCTTCACTACAGAAATTTAACAGAATCCTAAAATCATAAACTTACTAACAATTATTATTGTAGTGGGCTCTATATTCAGAAGGAATAAATATCTGTCACTCTTACCAAAAGACTATTCTGAGAGCTCAGAAAGTATAATGCCATAGTAAATCATTCATAGAACAGGGTCTCTTGATGC